TATATATATATATATATATATATATATATATATATATATATATTGTTACTTTAAATGTCCTGGGCTATTTCTCTTTCCCTTTTTGTAAATTATATCTGCCACTGGTACTAAATGATGAGCAGATCCATTGTTTTGGATGGGCAAAACGGCATTTTTACAAACATTTTACAATATTTTACCCATAGTTTACTTTAAAAACAACGTCATAATAAAAAATAGGGATTGAGATAGCCTGTGGTCTGCTTACTGTATTTGACTGTATAGCAAAACACTTTATTCCTGTATTCAAAGTACAACCCAGGAATATTTTTACAAGCACAATCTTGTTTCATGCTTTATAAAAATGTAAGTAGAAGCTTGTAACCTTGGCCTTTACTGACAGCACCATGCATTGCCCCATTAAGGTGTGAGTTGACTTCTTGGAAAAGGCCGTCATATCTTTAGCAGTATCTCACCAGCTGTTACAGCTCATCATTTTACAAAAACATATCGGACAATTAAATAAACAGCTTCAGAGATTATGATCATTATTACTAGACCTCTTTTCATTAAATGTCAGTCCCTGAACTGCTACTGAAATATAAATTGTTAGCAAATTTTGCTTTAAATGCAGAGTAGGTTTTTTTATATTTTGTATTTTTGCAATTTTTTTCACTATTTTAATTTTTATCTAAATTATGTTTTATTTTTTGTTTAATTACATTGGCCTACATATTTTTTTTTTCAAAAGAAAATAGCAGCAAATATTAAAAGAACATATATGACTAAATAAATATGACTGGGCCTTACATCAGCAGAAGCTGCTCTTTGTTTTCGATTTTTCATTTATAAATGCATCTTGCAATCATTTTAGAAAAATATCGAAGCATTTTTTTTATGTGTTTACAGGTAAAAGTGTGGTTTCAGAACAGACGCATGAAGTGGAGACACTCCAAGGAGGCCCAGGCTCAGAAGGACAAAGAGAAAGACGAGAAGCCGGAGAAAGGCTCCTCTGAGGCCGGGAGCCTGGAGCCAAAGTTACCAACAGAGTCTGAGTGTGAGAGCGAGGCTCGGAGCGACAGCGAGTCAGAGGAAGCCGATGAGGAGGACAGCGCAGACGGACATTTGGACATTTCTGAGCTCAGCAACAAGACCAGCGTCATCATTAGCGGGAGCGCGCAGGGGGGCAGCGCGGACGCGAGCCCCACGGACAAGCCCACCTCACAGGTGTTGATATGAAAACCAGGACATTAACAGCGTCCTTCAGCCTCTTTTTGTCTGAAGAGCTTCACTGACTTTAAGACACGTGGAGAAAAAGCGTCTGCATCCGGAGACAGGTCAGTTCACTTCCAGGGAGCAGCCGGAGGAGCGCACAGGCTGAGTCACTATCGCTCAGCATTGCAGCCCAGCAAAGGCAGCATAGAGAAAAGTGTGAATCTTATTAGATTTTGGTGTTTTTTTTCCTTAGTATAATTTTACAGTTACAATAATTACCCTATACACAACCGGTAATTCAAACCTAAATAAAAATATTTCTGGCTCTTAATTACTGTCCTGAAAAGTGCTTCAGACCTGATGATGATAAAAAGGACGATACGGACGAGTATTTTATTGTTAATGAAGGAACCACTCGAATTATGTTGTAAAGGAAATCTATGAGCAACAGTATTCGTGTATATTTCTTTGTTTTGATACATAGATGTGTTAATAGTAATTTGCACTGAAGAATGTAAATAAAATGTTTTTACCTGGAAACTCTATTATTTACTATTATTATTATTATTATTATTATTATTATTATTATTATTATTATTATTATTATTATTATTATTATTATTATTATTATTATTAGTTCACTCATTACAATAGTTTATGAAATAATCTGCGCAAACCCTTGAATATTATTTACACTTTTTGGATTACAGTAAAAAATATTGATAGATAGATAGATAGATAGATAGATAGATAGATAGATAGATAGATAGATAGATAGATAGATAGATAGATAGATAGATAGATAG